AAACTGCTTCACTTCACATGCACGCATGGAGCAAAGCAAAGTAACTGATACAGTAGTTCAAACATCTTCTTGTGGCTAGCTTAGCTACTTTGTTCATGAGACAAGCCAACGGCACATTTTCCTCAAGTTTCTAGTCCAATGCAATTCCGTGTAGAGAAGTCTGATTGCAAGGGCTTGTGAGTTGTGAAATGTTCATTCACAAGGCAGCAGCCCATCTATACTTGTAAATAAATACAACCAACGAATCAAATTGTACAAATCGGCCAAAAGTTAGAAAACGAATTGTATCTTCTTTTCCCCTTTATTAAAGTCTTTTGATTTGCCATTGGTATCCCCCCCTCCACGTTCGTTTTTGGTTCTTTTTTATGTTTTTGTTTTAGTACAAGCAAATATTGATTGGATACCAGGGGTTTCAAACCCCCTCCACGTGAATGGGGGTGGAAGAACTCAATCAACTTAGTTATACCTCACTAGCTCGCTTCACATTTTGTTATTTGTAGTTCTCAAGATTTTACTCTTTTCACGCTACTCATCTTAATTTTCATAAAGTGGAAACTGAGGGATGTATTCAGATTTTGAAGAATCAAAGTATTACTCCTTAAAATGTAACTTCAATTATTCAAGATATTGCGTTTCTTATCCTCGAACAGCATGTAGCTAATCAATTAGCTAATATTGGTCATACTCTTCCACATCCTGGTATCAAGTTTAACAAGTTTCCTTATCCGATTGTATGTCGTTTAAATGTTAACCTTTTCAATTTTCAGCTTTGTAAATTATTTTGTAATTAAATAATAATAATTTTTATTTATTTATAGGTATTTATAGATAGTGTTGCTATTTCATTCCTCAGTCTCACCAATAAATCGACCAAAAAGAGAGGGAAAAGAATAAGTCTCTCAAATAAACGACAGTCAGCAGTTTCCAAAACGACTCGTTCTTTTTGGTTTTAGCTTTAGGAACGGCAAGAGACGACTTGCCGTTTTCTTTCTATACCTTGGAACCTCCTGCGGCTCTGTTAAATCTCTCTCGCAGACTCACGCAGAGCAGAGAGACCAATGAGAGAGGGAGGAGGAGGAGACTGGTGAATTGGGTGTGGCTTTAAATAAATATGATTCAAAACCCATCTTGAATTGCGTGACATCTCTTTGCGACGCAACCGGAAATACTGAAGTTCCTCAGCCGTAGCTTTCACAATGAGTGCAGGTACTCCCTCTCTCTCTCTCTCTCTCTCTCTCTCTCTCTATATATATATATATATATATATATATATATTCATTAGAGTCAGTAAAATAGTTCCAGGAACTCCACCTTTTTTGGTTTTATTGGATTTTGGAAGGAATATAGTAAAAAGGGTCCTCTGGGATGTCTTTATGTATTGGCTATTCTTAGACTAAGGAATGAAAGATAATGAAATATCCTGGTAGCTGGAAGATATGATTTTTAATGGAAATTTGTTGGAACTTTTGTGAATGCAAAATGGGTACTTGCCTCTTTAATGGTTTATTTGGAACTTTATGTGTTTCCTGATTGCCCTTTTGGGTTATGCAAAAAATTTAGGGCCATATATTGTATTTTTATATTGGATTCCAGCCTTCAATGACGCTGGTGAAGAAACTCCTGTTAGTTACTTTCAGGGACTATAGTCTTCTAATACAAACTTCTTCCGTTCTTTTGGTGGGACTGAACCTCAGCTGCTTATGGCCTAAAACTGAAAAAGAGGCATGTTACCCAACTCGAATTTTGTTACTTTGTTAGCATTTTAGGTATAAAGTTGTTTATAGGACCTCCAATAACTGAATATAAAGATTTAGAAGTGGTCGAGTGACAATAAAATAGTGTTGGGGGAATGGAGTATATACCTAAAAGACTCATAACGCTACTAGTTATTGTCCCATGATTTGATAGTTGTGGCTCTTGCATTGCCTATGATAAAAGACCTGGTAAGCCTTGTGAATACGGTTCTCTTGCTATGTTAGAATCTACATTTAGCCTGCATGATCTTGAGTGTTATTTGTATACAAAGATGAAAAATCTGGATCAGACCGAACCACGAAATTGGCACTTTCATCCTTGCAGTAGTGCATATCTCTCGTTTTTGTTTAAAAGTGTTATTATTTCTTGTAGGTGGTGCCTTTGGTGGTAATAGGGGACTGAGCCCAGTTCCTCCAGAGAAAGGTGTCTTCCCTTTGGATCATATGCATTTGTGTGACCTGGTAAGTTACGTGACCATTAATGAACATTATCATGTTTTTTAATTTTGTTTCCTCTGTAGAAGAAACAAGCTTTCGAAAAGTTTTATATGTTGGAGTGGGTTAGCTGTGGCAATTTCGATTATTTGGGTTTTGTTTTGTTTTGTTTTTTTTTTCTAAGGGCTTAGTTTCTTGGATTTGTTTCAGGACAAAAAAGAATACCTCAGTTGTCTCAAAACTTCGGGCCACCAATCTGAAAAATGTAGGCTCTTCTCGAAAAAGTACCTGGAATGCCGCATGAAAAAGTGAGTTTTTGGTGTTTATAAAACACGTTGTGCTAGTGGACGTGTATAAATATAGGGTGTGCTAAGATTGTGACATTCTTCTGGCTATTATTCAATAATTAAAACAATTAACAACTGTACAGTCTTGAAAGCTTATAATATATAGACAGGTAAGTTTCACACAGATACTGTTGGGCGAAAGTAGTTTAAAGTACTAACTTCCTTTGACTGGTTTCAATGCTTGCGTTCTTTCTGTTAGACATTTTATTTGCTTGTACGGAACTCCGTCTACTTACGGTCTGCAGAAGAGCTTGTTATGTCTTCTCCCCCTTTTCTGGTGTTAGGTTTGTGTCAAAATGCTGTTATAGGTTTGATCATGAATGCAAATCCACGCCATCCAAGATGAAATTGAGTCATCTCAAACAATAAAAGAATTTGTATTTTGAGTAACCATAAATTTGAATCCTGCATATTTAGTTCTCCAAATTCACTAAAACTCTTGGCGGAGCTCTATGTATGATGAAGGTCTTCAATAAAGCATTAGGAAAGCAATTTTCTGGTAATTTTGGATTCGCAGAAATATTAGAAAATTTTCACTTATCCTTTTCTTTCATTTATGTCATAGATACTGAATCCTCATTTCTCAGATTATTTTTTTCTTTATGACAAGGGTTTGTTGTGAATACATACCAATGACCTTGGATATGCTTCTTGCAGGAACTTGATGGCCAAACAAGACATGTCAGAACTTGGGTTTGTTAAGGAAAGTAACTTGGAGGCTTCTGGAGAGAAGGTTACTGAGAGGATTGGTAATTGAGGTAGATGATTAGTTGGAAGACCACAGTAGTTGGGAAAGCTTTACTGAAAGGGCTGGCTGATTTTTCATCTGTTGGGGACTTTCCCCACTGAGTCTTGTCATTGAATTATTTGTAAAGGAATCTAAAATTTAGTGTTTCTTTCAAAAATGTCAATGATTTACTTGTATTAGACTTATACTTATAGAAGCCAATAAAACTAATTTTTTAAGTTGAATTAAATTTAAATTTTAAATAATGTACATTTTAAATGGGAGCTTAGCAAGTTGAAAGATGATGTTCTTTTTCTTAAGCTTCAAATTTTAAATTTCATGGTGATGGTGGAAGGATTATTTGTAAGAAACTCCCATTGATAAGATTAGTGAGCTTCTGCAGAACCTGTCTCTGAATCTGAAGCAGCTGACCGAAAAAAGAAAAAACACCAAATGGAACAGAACAGACAATAAACTCTTCATCATGCCATGCATTAAATTGGGTCTCGATGTTTTCACACAAGAAATATTTTCACCCGAATTATGAACAACAGTCCAAAAACTGCAAAAACAGAACGGCTGGCGGGAGATAACCTCTAGGACAGAGAAAACATAAATTATTCATTGGAGCTTCTGCACTCTCTCTCTCTCTCTCTCTGCCCCTCGATGGCCACGCTGAAAGCCTCTCCTTTTATAACTGACATTACATGGCTAACTTTTGCTTCCCTTTTCTCTGTTTGGGTTTTCCATGGCTCTCCATTTGTCTCCGCTAAGACCTCACCTCTTTTACCATTCGTAAGTTCTCTCTTTATCTCTGTCTCTGCACCCAGATGCACAGTACATATTTGGACCCTATCAGTTAAAATGGTATTTTTCATGTTTTATCTTAGTGGGTTTTATTGTTTTTAAAATTATGTTATCTGGGTCCAGTTGGAAATTTGGTTATGAGGGTTGTTGCTGGCTCATAATTTCGACTAGTTGTATGTCAGCTTCTGTTAGTTGAATTGTTATCTAGATCTGTATGAAAATGGGGTTTTGATTTTTCTTTTCTTACTTACTACAAGTTGCTTTTGAATTTTAAAAAAAAAATTGGCTCAATGAAAAAGAGTGATTGTTCAGTATTGGTCCACTGAAACTGAAGATAATCTGTATGAGTAAACAACCGTATTCCCTGGCTCTATGAATCCTTTTTGGTTTTGTTCTTCACATTTGTCATTCTGAAGAAAAGATTTTTGCCATTTGACTTGACTCAGTTATATCTTGAGGAATTGATTTTCTGATTGCTACTTTTAAGGAGCAAAATCGTCTGAGTGACTCCAATAGTAATTTTTTTGTTGCAATAAATATCAAAAAGAAAGGATTCTGATTTGGCTTTCCTGTTTGGCTATTTATCAAAAACCATATTCTATGAAGTTTAGATAAGTTTCGTTTTAATTTCAGTTCTTTTCATATGTCGAATACAAGAGAAATCAGAGAAGAAGACGACTAAATGCCATAAACTAAGTAGTAGCATTTAGTTTATCGTGAAACTACTTGAATGATAAATTTGACAGCACCTTCTCTTTTTGGGACAGAAGATCTATAAGATCAGAAAACAGACAAAAGACACTACCTAATGTGCATCATCCTTCAAGGTGCAGTACAAAGGAACAAGGAAACTATGGCTTTTCAAAGAAGAATCACTTACTTGGCTTATTGGTTAGATGCTACAATTCATCAAGGTGGTATTCATCTTGGATGTCATCATCGACAGCTTGTACAGCTTATTCTGGTCAAACAAGCTGTGACAATGGTTTCCCTGTGGCTAAAACTCATAATCATGAAATCGAATTTAATCGGGTCAATTGCCTTGAATGGGTATTGCATGAATCTGCAAGGAGCTTCTCCCTTGCGGTTAAGTCACTTGAATTGCCAGGAAGTGGTCAAGAGCTTGCAATGGCATGGTCTGGGAAGGATGTACATGAATGGCATAAACGGATTTCTTATCAGGTATAACATATATTTTGTTCACCGCAAAGTATGTGGTGAACATCTTATAATGCCTATAGAACAAATTGTCTTCACTATTGAATTGTGTTAACATCATTAGTGTCTCAAATATGATGTAAATATTTGAGATGTATGGTTTGCATGTTTCTGCATATCTTTTTATTTTATTTTGGTCACTGACTTGAGCAAGCTTTATGGTAAAATTTCTTAAGTTGACATGAAATCCTTGTTATGTTACTAGTCGGTATTAATGAAATTCTGAAATTGACTACCATGGCTGTGCAGGTCGCAGTTTATGCTTTGTTAAGAACAGCAATTGAAGTAGAAATTTTGCTTTCCAGTGAACGTCATTACAGTGACTCTTCACCAGTTAGTGATATGTATGTATGTTTTTTGTAAAAATCTTAACAATGTTAGACTGGTGGTTATAATGCCTTAACTGACAAATTTTAACTTATCTTTAGCGGTCAACTCTAACAATCAACAGCTTAAGCCTGCTTCTACCTTTACTTGATATTTAACTTTAAACTTTTGTAAACCTTAAGAGCTTAATTTTGAATGTCTATACTTTTCTTAATATGTCTATTTTCTTCTGAGTAATACTTTGCCCTTGTCCGCCTTGCTTGCAAATATTGATGACATAAGTGGCCAGAAAGACTCTTCTTTTGTTTATCTGTTTCAGCTTGACCCCAAAGATTGATATGGTTGGTGAATACATCGAGAGTCAATTAAACACAAGGCACTCAGAATTAGTAGAATGGTTTAGAGTGGTGGAACTACCACGTATTGCAGGATTCTTCATTCCCTTGTTGAGGAAGTGGTCTATGGAATATGCAGGAAGGTTTGCTCAAATAATTTTGTGCTTCTAGTCTAATATTTGTAACATCTTGTGTTATCATTTTCTTAAAAAATCAACATGTGTTTTAATATACGATTTGAATTCTGTGCATTTTATGCATATGCAGTGACATTAACCTGTTATTCTGGAATTAAGTATATAGCCTAAACAAAGAAATCTTCAGTGGTGTTGCAGGGATGGTTGTGGCTATAGGCTGCTGTGCAGCAGTGGCTAAATTGGGTTATGGCCGGGTTAAGTGCCCTTTTTTTGTGTTTTCAATTGAGGATGTAATGGTAGAGCTCATGGATCTCTCACACAGCCTTGTGTCAGTAGAAAGATTACATAACTTAGCTAGTGAGGCAGGATTTGAAATGGATTTCTTGTCCCATTTTGGTAGAAAAGTTCTGCTGAGCAACAAAAGTGAAGAGGTAGAATTTTGGATTGGGTTGGCTCATGAAAAACTCTCAACAGCATTCCATAAAGAAAGTGTGATCCCAGGCAAGGAGAATTTTCATGACAAGGTCAACTTTATGATTCATTAAATTATCTTTCTCAGATTCTAGAGTCAGAGGCATTAATCAATTGTTAGTTTGGCTGTGTTTATTTTTATATGTTTAGAATCTTCAGCTCATGTCTTAAACATCTAATTATTGCTCTTATTTATAAAGTTTAAACAGGTTGAAGCAGATACTTTGGCTACTTTAGGACTTTTTGCATATCTTGGGAGAAGGACTAGATTATTCTTGTCAAGAATGGGCATAAAGGATCTTGATGAGCTGGTTCAGGACTTCCTTAGGTAAACGACTTCACATTAAATGATTTAATCCAAAAGTACCGAGAACATAAGAGGTTGAATGGTTTGCCTGCAGCTACTTGGAGTGTGGTAGCCTTTTCATTCGCCCAGAGTTTTCTTCCGTAGCAGTGTATCAACACTTCATGGAGGTTCGTCTCTATTATGCTTCTGTTGCAAGTGTAAAATGCAAATCATGCTAATCTGAAAATTTATCATTACAGGTGGTGACTGATGAAACTGGATGGCTTGATTTTTACGCTGCATGCCCTCCGAAAAGGAGTCAAGAGAGACGAAAAAGCAAACTGCATGCCATCCAGGCAGAGAAAGAGATTGCTCTATCTGCTGTGTTTACTGTGTGCTATGATGTTTTCTCTGGATTTGCACACTTCAGTCGTTCAACTCAACAATCCTTAGACACTGATTTGCTAGACTTCTTGCTCCACAGGTAAAACATTCCCATCTTTCATTGTTTAGGTTTGTTTTAAATCTTTTCTATTTACTACAGGCCAACCAGTTTTTAAGATAGGAATATCATTAACCTTTTTCAGTCAGAGCTTGCTAACTATATGTTTGGAAGACTACTGGGCTGCTTATGATAAATCAAGGTACTATTTCTCTGGTGGATTGTTACACTTTAATTCCCTGCTACTGAATCAGCACTACCATGGAGGAAGGAGATAAATGTGCTTGTTCGGATTTTTATTTTTATTTTTTCAAGCAGTGAGTTGTTAAAGATTACAGAAACTGGTGCTCGTCGCACAACATCATTTGTAGGATCTGTTGTTGCAACCAAGTTATCTGTAACAATGGAAGCACAAGAAGAGCCAAGTACCTTGACAACATCAGAAGATCATCAAAATTATAAGCCTCAACACAGGCTTAAACTGAGAAAGGTATTGCCTTTAGAAAAAAATTCATTATAATAAACAAATAAAATACAAATATTAAAAATGAAAGAGCTTCACATATAACCATAACGTTACCAGAGGCTGTTTTATTAGTCCTGGAGAATGAGATGAATCATAAAAGAAAGTTGCATGGTCTCTACTTGGTTTGTATATGCTATAGTCTAATTGTTGCTTATATTGTTGTGACCATTTGTTTCCTTTAATAAAAGGATCCCTCCTCCCCGGTGATGGAAACCATAAACTCTGTGGAGGAGGGCAGTGCCACGAAATCAAGACATCTTCATCGAAATTTAGTTAAGAAGTATAGCAACAAGCTGGTATCGACAAGCTCTGTAAGGCCAATAATCCCCTGCTTCTTAGAGATGTGTGAAGCAATATGTATGTATGTATGTTCTGGTGGATGTTAATACTGTATATTGAATTGTTTTGAAGGATGTATGGATGGGGACTCAGTTGCTTTTCATAGACATCATGACTGCCGTGGAGGTACTCCTGAAACAATTGCGTGGCGACAAGGTTACAAGGAGGGAAAGAAGCAAGCTAAAAAGAACGCTGAATGACATGACTTCACTCATTCCAGTTACAATTCTAATGCTACTTCCTGTAAGTACTAATTTGACACTCTTCTTTCCTAAGGTTGCCTTGTATTTTATTGACTGATATGAAGTAGTTAGTTTTGAATGACCTTTATGCATGATTTAGAATTGCCAAAAAAAAAAAAAAAAACACACTAATTGATTGCGACCATAAATTCACCATATTTTATATGGTGAAAATACATATTTGTCTAGTGAAAGGTTCAAACTGTATAGTTGATTAATTTTTTTCCCTAATGACGGCTGCTCTTTATTTAATCGCGGGAGCTGTAAGAGCCAAATGATACTGAAGCTGTGCTTAATGTACAAAGTTCTGTCTTTAAGAAGATTAAGAGACTCAAAATTTTTGTATTCTGTTCATCTTTCGCATCTAAGTGAATCATGTTATAAATAATGAACTGCGTATTTTGATTCTTGATATATATGCGTTCTCTACAGTTTCATTTAGCAAAGTTGTATTTCAAGCTACCACATGCTTTGTAATTATGTTCATATACTTACAACCGTGCTTCATTATATTTGCACACAAGAATTTGATTACAAACATAATCAGATTTTATCCAAGCAACTAAAAAGCCAATCATACAGAAGTTGATTTTCTTCCTTTTTGTGCAAGGTATCTGCTGTAGGTCATGCTGCCATGCTAGCAGCAATCAAGAAGTACATACCAGGCTTGGTAACTTACATTACCTTACCATTTTTTTTCTTATAAAAAAAAAAAAAAAAAAAAATCTTTCAGTAATTTACAATCGCATTTCCCATAATGTCTCTTTTTTGGCTAATCATTCATTCATTTACTGCATCTAGATCCCTTCTCCATATTCTTCTGAGCGGCTGGATGTTGTGAAACAACTAAAGAGAATCAAGAAGATGGAGGTTAGGACGCGGAGCAACCTTGAAGATCCATCCTCTAGAATAACTTAAGTAATTGCTTGTGCTGCTCTCTTCACCCTGACTCAGAATAAACTGATTATGTTATTAGCAGTGTTTGTAAATAGTCAAATGAATAAATGTCTTTTCTTTTTTCTTTTTTTCTGGTCAGGAAAATGAATAAATATGTATAATGTGACGCATTCATGCCTGTCGACCAGGTGTGGATCAATTGGTCAACTCAAAAATTTTGGAGTACAAATTGATTTTTTGAACAAAACAACTAAAGAAAAGAAAAGAAAGAAATGAAGGGTTAAGCATGTTTAAATCTAATTCACCCAACGGCTCTATCTTTCTAATTTGAGTCATTCCAACAAATGCAAGACATAACAATAATAGGCAACAATGTAATGTTTTGTTTATTTGTTTTGTATAATCAAATGCACGTACCACAAGCATTTCTCTAGGAGAGGAGACAAAAAAATCTTTAAATGAAAAACAAAAGAGAAAAAAATAGAGGGGCAAAAAGGCACTCTACAAATTCATTACAAGAAGAGGGAGGGCTGCAATCTTCGCCTGCATTACATTACATAATTATAAAACTAGCAAAGCTAACTACACAACATTCACTCTCTTCAACCTCGAACACGAAAAACGAGCACAAATATGTTTACTCTTTTCATCCGAGTTCCTAGCTTATTTGGTCTTTATCACCTTGCATTGGATTATCATGGAAATATCTCAGCAATATATGCAAATCTTCCTTTTTTCACAACAAAATATTTGATCTTCTTTGTTCAAAGGGATTGACCTGCTTCGAAATCATCATCAGTGTACAATGTGGTCCCTAGTGTTGAAGCACAATATCAAAGGCTTAAACTACCCTCTTTGGATCACGACCTGCAGCAATATGATCCTACAAAACAATCCAAAAGAAAAAGGACTTAATAACGAAAGATAAACAAATGAAAAAGACAGAAATTCTTCTTGCTTGGTTTTTCTGGACATCAAATCCGTCATCCATGCAGGTTTTATTTTTCTTTTATTCTTTTGAGAAGTATACATGCAGTTCTTTATTGTATCAGCCTTCCAATATACAATCCAAGCTTTCTATAAGGTGAACAGTTCATATAACATAACTCCAAAATCTGTAACCATGCAACATCATGATTTAGGAAATATAATCACAGAAACTGCATTCAGACATCCAGTTTCAGAAATCAAACTTACTGAAATAAAATCAAACGCTTTGGTATCCTCTTTCTTCGCACTGTTCGGAATTGAAGTAGGAGCTGGATTTGGATGATTTGCTTGAAATATATCAGGTAGTGCTGAAGCATATCCTCCATTTGTTCCAGCAACTTGACTGAAATTCATATTTTGAGCATTGAGGTTCCCAAGGTGTTGAAAGCTAGACATTGTCGCTAAGAGTTGCTGTTGAGCAAGGAGACTTCCCATGGCACCATAATTTATTGGCTGAGAAGAAAAGGCTGGATTGAACATAATTCCAGGAGTTAAATTGTAAGGTGTAGCACCTGGAGGAAACACTGCATTATCATTCATCCGTGGTGTTTGAGAATTAAGAATGCCATTCCAAGCATCGCTGGAGGCCTGATGGCTGGGATGACTATTTGAATCTGATAAAAGAGTTTCAGATAGTTGTCCAGAAGAGGTTCCTTTCTGCTCCATCTTACAGACATTCTTATCAATGGATAAACCAGCCATTAAATTGTTAAAATCATTTTTATGATCTTGCACCTGCGGAAGTTCAGAATTGGGCCCGAAAATGTCAAACATTTCAGCTGCACTTTTCTTCTCTGCCAAGGCAGTCTCGTGATCATCTCGTTTATTATCAACGGTAAGCCCAGAGAAGAGATCATCTGCTTGTTCTGTACTGTCATTAGTGTGAAATGAAACATCTGCAAAAGGGTCATCCTCATTTTTCAGTTCACTGGTGCTTATGACATTCCCTGCGCCCTCTCCAAATAAATCATCAATTAGTGGGGGTGGTGGTGCTGTTAAGTTTGTGATGACTTGATCACTTAGGTTGTCAGTTGTGGCATCTGTCCCGTGGTAATCGTCTAGATCACCAGTGTCTATCAGGTCAGGCATCTGAACAGAACTAGCAGCCTGAGCCTTCACAGGCTGTTCTGAATTACTGGCCACACTGCCTATTTGTTCTCCACCCAAGAGGCTTAAAACCTACTCATTAAAAGAACATTGTCCATTTAACTGCATGATCTAATGCATCTTCTCAACGAAAAATAAACACACATACACATAAATAAATAAATAAACAAAAATATATATACACACACACACACACACAAAGAGCCTCCATTGAGGGATCCCTCAATCAAGCTTATTTGAGGGACACCCCTTGTAGGCCCCACTCCATATTGTACTTCACTAATCCAAACTGTCTATTTTGTAGATACTCATTCAAAGATCATCTCTATAAAAAATCACTTGAATCTGATATCATTTGACCACTCAATTGAGTTATTGAAATTTAAGTACTTTCTTGAAGCACCGTGTTCATTGATTTTGTAGGACACAATTGGATGTCGAAACGGTTTCTGATTTGTCTAATTTTTTGTAAGGATGATCTATGAATGAAGACCTAAAAAATAGATGGTTTGGATCATTGGGAAAAAAATTGTAAGGTACCCTAAATGGCGTCCCTCAAATAAAATTATTTGAGTGATCCCTCTGTAGAAGGGGACTGATATATGCATATGCATGTATATATCCAAACTGTAAAATTGCAAATAACCTTTCCAAGAACTTACACATTTCTCATATCATCGAGCACAAATTCCTCAAGAAATATATATTCAGAATATGTTATAAGAATAAGAAGAATTAAATCTGGAAAAGTCACAATGGGCAAGTACAAATTCCTTTCTACATGCAGAGTGAAGTGAAATTACATCAAACATGATAAAATTATCAAAGAACATATTACCGTTTACTCATGAAATTTTTAAAAAATATTAAGACAACATACCATTTACTTTCGCTATTTCTCTTTTAATTCTTTGTTCAATATGAAATATTCAAGGCAGCTCAACCATTAAACAATGCCCACTTTTTTTATCACCAAAAAAAGTAAAAATCCTTTGAGCCTAGGGCAAAGAATTGGCGTTCCCAAGTTCTAGTTACATTTACAATCAATTCTACATTTGAGCTGCAGCGACCGCCTAGAATGACGGGAAGAGTTGAAGTGATGATTAAGCAAACAGATTATACATGAAACTATTTTTTGGTCTATCTATCACTCCTATACATTATTTTGAGAAATCAGAATATGGAAGATATATATTTATGAGGAACTAAATGAATACCTTGTTAGCCTTTTCCCTCAAAGAAGCCTGAGGAGACTCGGAGCATCTGACTACAAGATCTTTGTTGTCAATAAAATATGATTCTACAATTGAAAAATGCTCATCATCCTTTCTCCTCAAAATTGACTCAAGAACACAAATTGCTTTCATGCGTACCTAACAAACACAAAATCACATTAAAAAAAGGTTTGTAAAAATAAATAGATCTACAAGTACAGCAAAAATCCCATCCACTTGTTCTGAACAATTGTAAGTCAACAATTCAATCTTATTTCAGGGATAATAAAATCAAATATGGACAATTTGTGTGTCTTTAATAAAATGGTTGTGCATGAAAAAAAATCACAAATAGATAAAATTCAGAAGTCACTATAAGAATCTTCAATTATTTGGCAATTTTGTGCATGCAAGCATGTGGAAGAATTATGGCCCAATACATAAGTACAAAGAGCATGCCTGCCACAATGGAGACTGGAGCTTTGTATCGAGGGCATGACTTAATGCTACGGCATCCAACTTTTTCGCCTCAGTAAGAAAAATCTGAATGGCATCCCGAGTGGGTTGTAAACGTACACCACCTGGAGTCACAATGGTCTCCAACAACCTCTCCTCCCGGGTCTTACTTTCTCTGTAATTTGAGCTAGAATCTCCATTGGTTACTTCAGTCTTGGTTAACCTATCCTCATTCCAGGTTCCACTAGCCACATTCTTTGAAGACCCAAAACTACCTTGAGTCTCATTGCGATATTGAGCAGGTTCATATCGATCTGTTGGCTCACTTTCAATGGTCAACGATCTATGAAGATTTGGACTCTTGTAGTTTCCATTTTCATTATTTTTAAATGAGTGATTTTGGGTGAAACTACTAAGTCCCTGCTTGATAGATGCACTTCCAATACCAACTACCTCACTAAGAAAAGATTTCTTTTCTTCTGATGACATTTCAAAGTTTGTATTCCCAAAACCTTGTATTCGTCTGTTAAGATCATCGGCTGGTGCTGCATTACTTTCCTCTGAAAATATAGCAGCAATAGCCTCTTGAGCAGTGTCCCGCACAGCCTTATTAAGGGCATCTCCTTTCAAAGGATCCGGCTGTCCCTTATAGTGAAATAACTGGCGCACTGCCACTGAATTTCGTTGCATTTCCCTCCTGAACTCCACACCAGACTTTCCCACAGAATATTTTATTAACCTCAGAGCCTGCAGAAAATTTGAGCATAATGGTGAAAATTTGCAAGAAACCTGACATTCATCAAGTCTATTATCCATCACAGCAGACAGAAGCTCTTGGAATTTCCCAATACCCATCAAACCCAGAAAATTCTTTTCTTTTACCCACACAAACTCATAACCAGAGGAGAAAATTACCAGACATTCCATTAAACTAGCACAAGACCTCAGAATAAAACATAATACTATAGAATAAAAAATCTGATTCGCCAAAAGAAGAAGAATTTTGATACCTTCTGTTTAACAATTGGACTTTTATTCTCCAGACGCTTTAACACAAACTCAGAAACCTCCTTGACAATACTGACATGTGAGGATCTCAAAAGCTGACAAATCTCTTCCAATTTGTAAACCGGCGCGACCTTGTCTTCGTCCGAAGTGGCCGCATCGATCATTCGAGACCTCCAGTACGACTCCACAGCTCTTCGACTCGAATCCATACCCCCAAGTCCTCAAATTTAGCTCCAAACGGATCTGATCCAATAGAATCCCAATGAAAGCCCTGTAGGGTCTGCCCTCGGATCGACGATACACTCGAAATTGGATCGGAGCCGTGGTGAAACCCAAATTCTG